AATCACCCTGCAGCAAGAAGGCTCGATCTGCGGTTTCTTTCTCCATTCGCTTTCGAACAAATATCGGCTGCTTTCTTACAGAGAAACTCCCGATGGCTTCTCGTATCACGTGGGCGGTCTAGCGCTAGCAGCCTGGAAAGATGTCGGGATGTTTCCTTATCGTCCCAGAGAACAAGAAGCCCCGTCTGGCGTAAAGGGTTGTCTTCACTGGATGGTGGTTGGGAAGCATCGCATGTCGCCCCCGTGTTCGCATTCCATCATGGTCTTTAGCACTGGAGAGAGCGAACTTCGTTTTATGCCTCATCCCGGAGATTCATGTCCTTCGAGCGATGGACATTCGAATATGCACTTGGTGGAAATCAAGGGCCGCGTATATGTGTATGCGATTCACGTTAAACTCGTGTGCGTATGGGTTTTGGAGGACTCTGCGAGTTGGCATTGGGTAAAGATGTGCGATATCGATCTAGAATGGGGCTTAAATGGGCATCCTGGGTTCGTAACAAGCTACTCAAACTACAAGAACATGCAGCTTGTAGATAGCCACGGAGATGGCGAGCTGGTACTGTTCTGGCCTCGCGGGGGATTCTTTTCGTATAATCTGCGGTCGGAGACAATCACAAAAGTCCAGTGGAACTTCTCTATTTACAGAACGATGAGCAGGGTGGTCGTCGCCGAGTTTAAAAGAAGCCTCGTGTCCGTGAAACATCTTCGGCGACGTTAAGTTTGATTTTCCTAGGATTTAGGGTTTAGGGAGAAGCTTGATTGTTGATTCTGGTTTGGATGGTTGGGAGACTAACAGGTTCTCTGTGATCGACCTCTTTAGTCTTCATTTCCAGCACTCCGTTTGGACTTTGGAATGATTTCTGTTATTTGTACTTTTGACTTTTGATAATCTTTGTGATCCAATGCTTTTAACACTAGGAATATGTGGCACTGAAAGTCCTAAAACTTATAACGAAAGTATAATTGAGTTTCAAAACTTGTCAAATTGGTACAATCGAGTTCTTCCGTCAACTCCGTCCAATTTGGTTAATGGAAAATGCTGATGTGGCTTTTTAAAAAAAGTATTTTCTCTTTTAGGTAGCGAGATCAGCTCAATCTTGCTATAGGTACTCATGCTTTCATCAATCACTAAACTGACAGTGAAGGGTGTTAGTAAAGACTTTTTCTTTCACTATCCGCGATCAATCTATGTGAATGTATATATTTATTATGACAAAACCTTTTATTGGTGTTATCTCTATGTTTGTCTACCTCGTATTGTAAATTGCTAGACATGGACTCTCCTTGTTGTATGGAAATCTTGGTGCTTCTTCGACGGAAGTAATAAAATATGTGTGGACCAATTTATTGTCCCTCGTCCTTTCGCGTCATTATTTTATTATCTAATTGTAACTCATTTGTATATAAGTTTTTTGTTTTGTTTTTGTTTTAGCATAGAATTTAAAGATTTTCCCATTTTAGGTAGTTGATAGAAGTTTCTATTATTGATATGTATTTCATGAATAGTCTAATATTTACGATATATAGTATTTTATGTTATGTCCGTATATTTTTACTACTATATTAATTAATTGTTTGTACTTTGATAATTTTATTCTTTTGCCCGACAATATGATAATTTAGTTTTATACGTAACTAATGATACGTTAAAAAGATTATTGTATTTATGCTAAATGTACCGCGCTACACTTTAGTTATATTTTTCTATGATAAAAGTTGCGCGATATGCACGTGAACATTCAACCACTGGTTGATAGGCATGCGGTCCTACTGGTAAAGAGATTGGAGGGTGGTGACGCTAGTATCATAGGTGCAGAGTTCGATTCCCGCGCTCTGCAAGAGGCAGAGCAAAAGTCTGAGGGTAAGGAGAGTTAGAGATAGGACAGACAAAAAAAAAAAAATTCAACCACCGAGATAAGAAATAAAGCATAAGAGGAAATTGTGTAATTTTTATAGATTTTAATATCGGTGTACTTATTGGCTTTATTAGATAACTATCGAAGATAACACAGTATCATTTTGAATTGATCCGGATAAGCACCATCAAGAAAGGTATATGCATGATCCTAAGATATATATCTAGAAATATATATGCACGATCCTCCCCTGGCGCTCTCGCTGTTCCCACTGAGCGTTGATTTCCGTCCGGCTCTGCCTCGCTACCTCGCCGCTGCGAAGTAAAGGTATCAGACTTTTTTCTGTTTCTTTTTAGAATTTTTGAAGCTTCGACTGAATTCAGTGAACTGTATGCTTCAAATTTGTTTCCGTTTCGTTCGTTGAATCTGAACCATGTCCAGTGGCTGTCCATCGCGTGCTTAAATTCTCTGCTGTTGCATAATCAGAATGGAACACCTTCGATGTCCCAACGCTGAACAATTTTTCAAAACCTTAAAAAGGGCATTATAGAGTACAGATGACTGTTTTAGAGGTTGCATCAAACACATATTTGTTCATTTACTGACAGTGATGCGGATGGAGATTTCTCGTTGCTTCCCGTGGCTTTCGCACCATCGTCAGGGCGAGAAGCGGGACAGCTTCGAAACCTTACCGGACGATGTCATAGTGGATGTGCTGAGCAGACTGGAAGTCGGCCAGCTCGGCCGCGCGAAAAGAGTATGCAGAAGGTAGCGTGCTTTGATCGGGACGGCTCACTTCACCCGAGTGCATCTTCAAAGAGCTTCTTCGGTAACTGTCATGGGCTCCATGTTCTCCGAGCGCCGGTTCCATCGTGACATGCCCTTTTTGTTCTATTACGACTGGGGCTCTCGCGAGAAGAAACCGACTAGAGGAGCAAAGTTACTGGGTTTGCGACGCATGAGGAGGACCAGCCAGAGTTCTTTTGATCTTCTAGGTTGTTGCGACGGACTGCTTATCTTCATCGCGCCTATCACCAAATCTATGTATGAGATCTACAACCCTGTCACGCGGGAGGGAATCAGCTTGCAGCAAGAAGGCTCCATCTGCGGTTTCTTTCTCCATTCACTTTCGAACAAATATCGGCGGCTTTCTTACAGAGAAACTCCCAATGGCTTCTCGTATCACGTGGGCAGTCTAGGGCCAGCGGCGTGGGAAGAAGTGGGGATGTTTCCTTATCGTCCCAGAGAACAAGAAGCCGACCCGTCTGGCATAAAGGGGATGGTGGTCGGGAAGGAGCGGATGTCGCCCCCGTGTTCGCATTCCATCATGGTCTTTAGCACCGGAGAGAGCGAATTTCGTTTCATGCCTCATCCGGGAGATTCATGTCTGTCGAGCGATGGACATTCGAATATGCACTTGGTGGCAATGAGGGGCCGCGTATATGTGTATGCGATTTACGGTAAACTCATGTGCGTATGGGTTTTGGAGGACTATGCGAGTTGACATTAGGTAAAGAAGTGCGATGTCAATCTAGAACGGGGCTTACGTCCGCATCCTGAGTGTGTAATAATAAGCTACTCAGAGTACAAGAACATGCAGCTTATAGATAGCCGAGATGGCGAGTTGCTTCTGTTCTGGCCAGGCAGGGGATTCTTTTGGTATAATCTGCGGTTAGAGAAGACCACAAAAGTCCGGTGGAAACTCTCTATGTACGGAATGATGAGGAGGGTGGTCGTCGCCGAGTTGAAAAGAAGCCTCGTGTCCTTGAACCATCTTCAGTGACGTTAAGTTTGATTTTCCTAGGATTTAGGGTTTAGGGAGAAATTTGATTGTTGATTCTGGTTTAGATGGTTGGGAGACCAACAGGTTCTCTTGGACTTTTGACTTTTGATAATCTTTGTGATCCGATGCTTTAACATTAGGGATATGTGTACTGAAAGTCCTAAAACTTGTATTGAAAGTGCAATCAAATTCTAAAATTTGGCAAATTGATGCAATTAAATCATTCCATTAACTTCTCAATCTCGCTATAGTTACTCATTCTTTCATTAATCACTAAATTGATAGTGAATTATGGTGTTTTTGTAAAGACTTTTTCTTTCGCTATTCACGTTCAATTTATATGAATATATATATTTGTTATAACAAAACCTTTTATTGGTGTTATCTCTAAGTTTGTCACCTCGAATTGTAAATTGCTAGACATGGACTCTCCTCATTGTTTGAAAATCTTGGTGCTTCTTCAACGAAAGTAACAAAGTATGTGTGGACCAATTTCATTGTCCCTCGTCCTCTCGCTTCATTATTTTATTATCTAATTGTACCTCATTTGTATATCAGTTTTTTGTTTTTTTATTTTTGTTTGAGCATATAATTTAAAGATTTTCCCATTTTAGTTAGTTGATAAAGGTTTCTGTTGTTGATATGCATTTCATAAATAGTATAGTATTTACGATATATAGTATTTTATATTATGTCAAGATATTTTTACTGCTATATTGATTAATTATTTGTACTTTGATAATTTTATTCTTTTGCCCGATTATGGGATAATTTAATGATACGTTTAAAAAGATTATTGTATTTACGCTAAATGTACCGTGCTACACTTTAGTTATATTTTTCTGTGATAAAAGTTGCGCGATGTACAGGTGAACATTCAACCACCGAGATAAGAAATAAAGCAGAAGAGGAAGGTAACACAACATCAATTAGAATCGATCTGGATATGCACCATCAAGAAAGATATATGCACGATCCTCCTCTCGCGCTCTCGCTGTCCCCACTGAACAGTGATTCCCGTCCGACTCTGCCTCGCTACCTCGCCTCTGCGAAGTAAAGGTGTCGACTTTTTTCTGTTTCTTTTCAGAATTTTTGAAGCTTCGACTGAATTCAGTGAACTGTATGCTTCAAATTTGTTTCCTTGTTGTTCGTTGAATCCGAATCATGTCCAGTGGCCGTGCATCGCGTGCTTCAATTCTCTGCTGTTGCACGATCAGAATGGAACACCTTCGATGTCACGACGCTGAATAATTTGCAAAACCTTAAAAAGGGCATTACAGAGTACGGATGACTGTTTTAGCGGTTGGTTTTGCGATTGGATCAAACACATGCTTGTTCATTTACTGACAGTGAAGCCTATGGAGATATCACGTTGCTTCCCGTGGCTTTCGCGACATCGTCAGGGCAAGAAGCGGGACAGCTTCGAAACCTTACCGGACGATGTCGTAGTGGATGTGCTGAGCAGACTGGAAGTCGACCAGCTCGGCCGCACGAAAAGAATATGCAGAAGGTGGCGTGCTTTGATCGGGACGGCTCACTTCACCCGAGTGCATCTTCAAAGAGCTTCTTCGGTAACTGTCGTGTGCTCCATGTTCTCCGAGCGCCGGGCCGTTGACATGCCCTTTTTCTTCTATTATGACTGGGGCACTCGGGAGAAGATTAGAGGAGCAAAGTTACTGGGTTTGCGACCCATGAGGAGGACCATCCACAATTATTGTGATCTTCTAGGTTGTTGTGACGGACTGCTTATCTTCGTCGGGCCTCTCTCCAATTCTACGTATGAGATTTACAACCCCGTCACGCGGGAGGGAATCAACTTGCTGAAAGGAGGCTCGATCTGTGGTTTCTTTCTCCATTCGCTTTCGAACGAATACCGGCTGCTTTCTTACAGAGAAACTCTCAATGGCTTCTCGTATCACGTGGGCGGTCTAGGGCCAGCGGCGTGGGAAGAAGTCGGGGTGTTTCCTTATCGTCCCGGAGAACAAGAAGCCCCGTCCGGCGTAAAGGGTCGTCTTCACTGGATGGTGGTCGGGAAGGAACGCATGCCAGCCCCGTGTTTACATTCCATCATGGTCTTTAGCACCGGAGAGAGCGAATTTCGTTTCATGCCACATCCGGGAGATACATGTCTGTCGAGCCATGGACATTCGAATATGCACTTGGTGGAAAGGAATGGCCGCGCATATGTGTATGCGATTCGCGTTGAAGTCATGTGCGTATGGGTTTTGGAGGACTATGCGAGTTGGCATAGGGTAAAGAAATGCGATATCGATCTAGAATGGTGCTTAAATCCACATCCTGAGTTTGTAACAAGCTACTCAAACTACAAGAACATGCAGCTTGTCGATAGCCGAGATGGCGAGCTGCTACTGTTCTGGCCTCGCAATGGATTCTTTCGGTATAATCTGCGGTCGGAAACGATCACAAAAGTCGACTACTCCAAGTAAAGTCTCAAATCTCGCACAAGCGTAGCGATGAGCAGGGTGGTCGTCGCGGAGTGTAAAACGAGCCTCGTGTCCTTGAAAGATCTTCAGTGAAGATAGTTTGATTTTTCTAGGGTTTAGGGTTTGGGGGAGAAGTTTTATTGTTGACACTGGTTTACAAGGCCATGTGACGTACCTCTTTAGTCTTCATTTTCAGCATCGGAAGGATCATCTGTTTGGGACTCGGAATGATTTCTATTGTTTTGACTTTTGATCATCTTTGTGGATCCCTTGCTTTGACTTTATAAATTGCGAGTCACTTGAAAAGCCTCGTTACCTAATTTTTGAGAAAATTATTTTAATATTATTTTTTAAAAAAAATTCGAAAAGAAAAGTCAGGAGAAATCATCATGGAAAAGTACCAGAAAAACCATGATTTCTCACAAAGTGATTATTTGGGTCGGTTATTTTTCCTCGAAAAGTCGTTAGTAGGGTTGATTAATTGTTTATATTCGTGGCCACAATATAAAATGAAGCCGTGTCGAGAATAAAATATCTTTAGGAAAATCTATGCTGGAGGAGCTGGACTTAACAAATTATTTTAGCTTAATATAAATTTTTTGGGAAAAAAAATCTATACACTTGATAGAAAAGTATCTCACCTGCAAGGTAAATTTGAAAATAAGGAGAAAAAATTGCTTATATAGATACTTAGGTAGCGAATGATAACTATTCTGTTCCGGAATGAGTTCCTGAACCAGAAATAGATTTTTCTATTTTTGGTTCCTGGATGAGTTTCTGAGAAAAAAAACCCGTTTGATAACGACAAAAATTTCTATTTCTGTAACGTAAACCCGTTTGATAACAAAGACAAAATTTCTATTTCCCGAAATAAAAACTCGTTTGATAAACAATAGAAAATTCTATTTCCAGGAACAAAATTCCATTTTTTTAGAAATGGAATAAAAATAATAAAAAATCCGAAAAATTCATAAAAATCTTTAAAAAAATTCAGAAAATCTCAAAAAATTGAAAAATTCCAGAAAAAATCATCAAAATGTCGAGAAAATAAAAAAAATTTAGATTTCGGGAAAATAGGAAATTTGTTGAATTTTTTCAAAAAAAATCAAGAAATCAAAAATTTCAAAACTTCACAGAATTGCTTAGAATACCTGTGGCTACCCACTTTTAGTGAAATTTAAATTTTTTTAGGTGCCAAAAAAAAATCAAAAAATCAAAAATTTCAAAACTTCACAGAATAGTTTAGAATACATGTGGTCACCCGCTTTGAGTGAAATTTAAATTTTTTAAGGTGCCCAAAAAAATTCAAAAACTCAAAAATTTCAAAACTTTACATAATGGCTCAGAATACCTGTGGCCACCCACTTTGAGTGAAATTTTAATTTTTGGAGGTGAAAAAAAAGCAAAAAAATCAAAAATTTCAAAACTTCACAGAATGACTTAGAATACATGTGGCCATCCACTTTGAGTGAAATTTAAATTTTTTTAGGTGAAAAAAACATAAAAAATCAAAAATTTCAAAACTTCACAGAATGACTTACAATACCTCTAGCCACCCACTTTGAGTAAAATTTAATTTTTTTTAGATGCCCAAATGGTATTTTTTATTTTTTTTTTATTTTTTTTGGTTCCTAAAGAAAATTAAATTTCACTCAAAGTGGATGGCCACATGTATTCTAAGCCACTCTGTGAAGTTTTGAAAATTTTTCTTTTTTGCTTATTTTTATTTTTTTTTCGACAACTAAAAAAAATTAAATTTCACTCAAAGTGGGTGGCCACAATGTATTCTAGCAATTATGTGATGTTTTTTATTTTTTATTTTTTTATTTTTTTTGGCACCTAAAAAAATTTAAATTTCGCTTAAAGTGGATGGCCACAGGTATTCTAAGCCATTTTGTGAAGTTTTGAAAATTTTTTTTTATTTTTTTTATTTTTTTCGGCACCTAAAAAAATAAAATTTCACTCAAAGTGGTTGGCCACAGGTATTTTAAGCCATTCTATAAAGTTTTGAAATTTTTACTTTTTTGCTTATTTTTATTTTTTTTGGCATATAAAAAAATTTAAATTTCACTCAAAGTGGGTGGCCACATGTATTTTAAGCTATTCTGTGAAGTTTTAAAATTTTTTATTTTTTTATTTTTTTCGGCACCTAAAAAATTTAAATTTCATTCAAAGTGGATGGTCACAAGTATTTAAGCCCATTCTGTGAAGTTTTGAGATTTTTGATTTTTTTTTTTTTTTTTTTTATTTTTTCGGCACCTAAAAAAATAAAATTTCGCTCAAATTGGGTGGCCACAGGTATTCTAAGATATTCTGTGAAGTTTTTAAATTTTAGAATTTTTTTTTGGCAACTAAAAAAATTAAATTTTGCTTAAAGTGGGTGACCATAGGTTTTCTAAGCCATTTTGTGAAATTTTTTATTTTTTATTTTTATTTATTTTTATTTATTTTTTTCGGTACCTAAAAAAGTTTAAATTTCACTGAAAGTGGGTAGCCACAGATTCTAAACCATTCTGTTAAGTTTTGAAATTTTTGATTTTTTGCTTTTTTTTCTCACCTCAAAGATCGTGACTTCCATATGAATATGTGTGTTGAAGAAAATGAATTCCTCAGAAATGGTTCTCACTTTTGTTCCAGAAATGAAAAACCAACTTTTTTTTTGTTCTCATTTCTGGTTTCAGAATCAGTTTTGGAAGCAAACTTGTCCCGGAAATAGAAAAATGAAATTGCGTTACCAAACGGGTTTCTGGTCCAAAACTGATTCTGGAAACAAAAAACCAGTTCTGGACAGAACCAGAATGGTTTTCATGCAGCACCTTAACAAGCGGCAAGAGGAGGGCCGGCTTCGAAAGCCCGTCACGTCATGACGGATGTGCTCATGAGACTGCGGGCCGACCAACTCGTCTGATCGCAAAGTCTGCGCAGGAGCAAATCACCTTGATTCGAGGGGGCCTTCATCTGCTGCTTCTTTCTCCATTTGCTTTCAGACGAGCACCGGCTACTTTTCCGTGACGAAACGGGCGATGGCCTCTGTCATAACGTAGGCAGTTCATGCTCAGCAATGGATGATTACAATTCTGGAAGTACATCATTTCTGGATCCACATTGAATAAACACACAGAAATATTGCAGAGTACTATCATTCATATAGAAAATTTACTATACCTTAGCATTGTCAATGACATAAAGATACCAGCACAGAAACACAAAAAAGAAGAAAACATTGGGCAAGCAAAACTTCGACTCAGAATCTGCTATTGGCCGATTCTTCTGTCTGTAAATTGCAAATACAATGAAACAAGAAATTGTGGAAGCACGACTAGGAAAAGAAAACGGGATGCTATCGATAGAAGTGTAAAGAACACTTCAGTCTCATCTTCCACCAGATAGCTGAATTGCGTCTTGATTATTCATGGAGTCTTCTCCCCAGTCGAACCTTCTCTGCAGCCTCTCATATTCTTGCCTTCGAGTGACTTCGACGTTCTGCCACTCCTCCCACCTCTCGGCCAGCCCTTCGCCTTCCAGCATCCGGACAACGTCCGACATCGCCGGACGTTCCTCCGGTGATGCTTGGGTACAAAGAAGAGCCACTTGTATCATCATCTCCACCTCTTGCATGTTGTAGTTCCTACCTAAGTTACGGTCTACGATAGCATCAAGCCGTTTCTCCCTCTCCAGCTTCTTGACCTTCATGCACACATATGAAGTGAAGTGATCAAGCATAAAGAAATACTTCACAAAGCATGAACATCTACTCAACTTTAGAACAAGTCTCCGCAACACAGGAACAAGTCACCCGATTTACAGTCTAACAGCACCATCATTCAACCACCAATTCAGAGGTTCATAAGCTGCAAGCTTAAACAGCTTAAATGCTGATTCAAGCCTTTAAAGGCTTAGCAAAATTAACACAGGAGAGCAACAAGGATATGCACGCTTCTATTTGTTGAAAGGATTACAATGTCCTTTTTCTCAAATTGGTGGAGGTCAGAAAATGACGATGAGAGTTGATGCATAGTGAAATCCCAGTTCCATGAATGAAGCAACCACTTTAGTGAACATAGAAAAGAAACGAAAATAAGAGGCTCTAGCTACATGGAACCTGCCTGGAATATTGATTTCCCACAGCACAAAATGTGGTTGAGCATGGATGCGCAAGCATCAAAGCCAGTATCATCATTCCTATGTGCTCAACTCACTTCTGGAACTTATGTAAATAATGATAAACAAGCAGCAGTAGTAGTTCGACTCTGACGAATAGTTGTTTAGTCTATTCAGCTTCACTGAGAATGTCATAGATAGGTACACACCAATCATTCTTTGTTAGCCAAAAATACTTCCATTTTGAGCATCCTACAATAACAAACGGATAACTAGAAAAATAGGAAGGGAGGAGGAATAAATTCCATAAAGAAACAACGAGAAGAATAAACTGTCTTACATGATCAAGCAGTAGCACATCATCTTCTTCTTCTAGACGTGAGAAGTCAATTGCACGTTGACCTGTTACCAGCTCTAAAAGCATAATTCCATAACCAAAAACATCAGTCCTCTCTGAGGACTTCCCAGTTGACAAATATTCTGGCGCAATATGGCCCATTGTCCCACGAACTTGAGTTGTAACATTAGTCTGTCTCACGTCAACTAATTTTGCAAGGCCGAAATCACCCACAACGGCTTCAAAATCCTCATCGAGCAAAACATTAGCGGCTTTTACGTCCCGATGAATAATCTTAGGATTACAATGTTCGTGAAGATACTCCAGACCACGTGCAGCACCTAAAGCTACCCGTTTTCTTCTGGGCCAATCCAAAACAGGCTCTCCAGGCTTGATCTCTGCAGCAGTCAGATCAGATTAGTGCGTAAGTGATTAACAAATAAAAAATCATGAAAAAATGTTAAGTCTTAAGCAACAATAAATGTCGGAATGTGTCATCCATGATATGAAATCAATTTTCGTGATCATCATCCATGAGTATTAACTATGTAATGCAGTATAAAGAAGTATGGGCTAGAAATCTAGCCTTGATAAGACTTTCAACTCTTTAGTTAGTCCGACAAATTTTTGTTACCTAAGTAAAGTGCAGTAATATATCTAACAGGAAAAGACTGGACATAATAATGGTCAAAGTAGGTCTGAAGTTCACTGCAACGTCTGATTTAAAGCTTTTGTCCAATAAGGATATCACTAAACTGAATTCTCATCCAAGTATGATTTCAGAAATCAATTGCCAATAAGTCTCTTCTTTTGCTTGGAAGCAGTACAAGAGAGCATTTTCGTTGACGAATAATTTAACAATTTGTGGACTTGCACCAAGCGTTCTCACCTCGAAGCCGATAGGCAACACTTAAGTTTTGCATGAAGGGATACACCAGCAAGCGCTCTGTAGGTGTTGTGCAAAATCCAATCAACCTCAAAAGATTCCTATGAACTGCAACACTTATCATTTCGACTTCACGTTGAAAAGCTGCATCTCCGCCAGGACTCTCGAAATCAGTTAATCGCTTCACGGCAATTTTCATATTATCAGCGAGCACTCCTTTGTAGACTTTCCCGAAACCTCCCTGACCAAGGACATTTTTCTCATTGAAGTTGTCTGTTGCAAGCTGCAATTCCCTCCATGAAAATCGTTTTAACTGGCCAAATGCAATTCTCCGGTCTACTTCACCTGCCAGCAGGACGTCATAGTTAGTACTAGCAAAAGGTACATTAAAACAGGATAAAAAAAGTAACTCTGATAAATCCAGTTCAAGGCTTTCTTTCCAACAATCAATCAAATTCAAACTCTGTACACCGACTAAATTCTACTGACTTCAAAGTAAAGTATCCTTTTAGATGCTAACAAGACCATTAGTCAGGTCATTGACAGAAAGAGCAACACATACCTGCGACATCTACAAATACTTCACGTTTATAGCCTTTGAGTCGACCCTTATATAGAATAAACACCAGAATGACAAGGAGGAGAATAAAAAGCCCTCCAACTATACCAACTATAATTCCAACTTTCGGTTTATGCGAAGCACCTGTCAGAAGAATGAAATTTACATCATCAAGGCATATGTGCCTCATATGACACTGCCTGGTTACAGTAAAATAATTTAGAGCATTCAATACTGCAAACTACCTGAATCACCACTATCAGAGGCACATGAATGCGGTTGATTAATGCCACAATTCAAGTTGTTTGCAGAAAAGCTGCAATTAACAAACAACAAGAAAATCAATGCTCTAGCCCATGCGATAAGTAGAATATACATGTGCCTCTGTGCGAGCGCTCGCGTGAGAGAGAGAGAGAGAGAGAGAGAGAGAGAGAGAGAGAGAGAGAGAGAGAGAGAGAGAGAGAGAGAGAGATTCTTAAAAGAAGTAAACAATCAAGAGGAGAGGCTTAATAAGGTAAAATGATTAATTGATAAGTATTACTGTTGCCATACTTGTATTTCGGAACTTGAAATAAGTGAGCAGGAATTTGCCCTTGAAGGTTGTTGGAGGCAAGCTGGCTGCATAAACAGCTTAAATAGTACCCTTAGAATTTGCTGAATAATTGAATAAAACTAGGCACAAACTCATAGCAATCAACTTTTAAAAAAATTGAAAAAAAAAAGATGATTAAGTATGATGCAACCATACCGACTCATCTTGAAGTAAAGAAGGAATGACTACTTACAGATTGATCAAGTTAGGAAGAGCAGAAAGTAACACAGGAATGGTTCCGCTGAGATTATTTTGACTTAAAGACCTGCTAGCACGGTAACTCATATCGTTAAGGCTGCGATTTCCCTATAGATTGTTTCAGACAGTAAAAGCACTGGAGATACTGATGCTTACAAAAATTGAAGCTTTTGTAGATTCCCAAGGGAAGATGGTATTTGACCAGTCAAACGATTGTTCTCCAGATCCAAGTTGGTCAAACTTGTCAAATTTCCAAACTCTTCAGGTATCTCACCAGTTATGCCATTCCCTTGCAATGTACTACATCAAAACAATGGCAATATTTAGAAAGTACGAAAAAGGCGAGCACACTAGAAATAATTCAGATTGCTTAAAATAACCTTAGCGTGAAAGGGAACACAATGCTATCACCAGGCGCAATGTAATCTTTTAAATTGGAAATAAAAGTAAATTTTCTATCACGGATTAATAAATTGAATTTTTCAAGTTCACACAAGGTTTCACGAAGATAAATAGGAGAGAACCAATTAACAACCCAATGGACTCTATGACTTTTCCCATACTTCGACATGTGAACGACTCTGGTCCACACTTACAGTGTAGTGAGTGTCTTCAGCTGTTCAATTTTGGGGGACAATGTACCTGAAAAGTTCATTGATGACAATGTTCTGCATACAAATAAGTCAATCTGAAATTAGAGCCTTCATATGAAGTCAACCTGAAGGAACAGCCGCACAAAATGATAGCTTACAAAGAAATGACGTTGTTATTTGGATCACAAATGACATTAGACCAAGTGCAAGGATTAACTTGATTTGGATTCCAGTCTGTGAGCTGACTGCTTGATGCATTTAATGAATATCTCAATGAGTAAAGTGCATCTCCTGTAAAACCAGAAGAATTTAGTGATATTCAGCATCTAATCAAGCTAGCAGCAGTGGCTCAAAAAATAAGACCAACAACACAAACATTCAGAACATAGAAACCATCATAAATACATTAAAAATGCAGATCAAGTGAGTCTTTAAGGTTATTCAGTTCATGTCATTGAATAAGCCGAATGTCCTTATTTTGTTACATTATTAAATTTATCATGGAGGATGGACAAGAAAGGGTTCTAATTAATACAGCGTACTCAGCTTGTTTTTGTGGCAGATGCTTCTGGCTTTCAAAAGCTGTAGTAACTCTAGTTGAGCATTTGGCAAAGTTTTGAATGTACAGGTAGGGGAAAGCTTACGAAGTCAAAACCAGGTTTCTAGAAGATGTAGGGACATAACTAATATCCTTCTGATTATTTCAGCCATGATCTACTCTCAGAAAGGAGCCAATGAGAACAAATTTCTAGCTAATTCGTTTTAAGAAGGGTACCATCTCTTCACTTTCATTCTAACCGACTAGCAATTTCATTTCCTTCCTCAAAGAAATAGTACTCAAAAAAAGACATTAAGGCTCCATTTGTTTCGTGGAAAATGGATGATTTGGAAAACATTTTCCTAAACATAATCTCTTGTATTGCTTACAAAAATGGATGAACGAAAAAAATTTTCATTGTGCACAAAGATGTTTAGATTTAAATTATTGTAGATAATGTAAATATTTTTTATTGACTAATTATTTCGAGCAATATAAGAAATTATTTTAAGGAAAATATTTTTCAAATCATTCATTTTTCGCGAAACAAATGGAGCCTAATATGTTTGAGCTTACCCAGCAAGTATGGATAGAGACTTATAGACTTACAATCTAAATGGGACTTTGGCTCCTAATCAGTGCTCAGCATCTAAAGTCACTAGTCAATATAAATACTAAGGCATGGAGAAGCTATTGGACGTTTCTAACAGAGATCAGACCTTCTTATGGTACATGTTGTCCTTGATGAGAAGTAAAGTAACTCCCACCAGTGATTTGAAACGGTACCAAATTGAAAATCACTTAGGACTGTAGTTCCAGCTCAATCGATTCAGATAAACTCCCAGTTGGTAAAAAAAGCAATCAACATATCAATTGCATGCAGAAGACACCACAAAAAAAGGCAAAAGACAGATCATTCACTTCTGCCAAGTCACAGGTTGGAGCTCCAGACTCCACATTATTCCAAGTTTCACTCATAGATTACTTAAAAGAATTTATACAAGATCATTTTGTTAGCAAAGAAAACTATAGCCAGGTGGCATGGACAGGTGCTTCCTTGCCCTTGTGATGGGTTCTGCCTTATATAAAGAAAAACAGTGAGCCTCAATTGAACAGGTTTGACCATGTCAAATCTGCTTTTGACAGCCTCGAATTTAAGGGTATGAGCCAGACTGGACCTAAAACTCTTTCCAGGTACGACTGGTTGAACCGACCAGTCCAGTTATGAACAGTCCCGGCTCATGAGAATACACAATAACACCTTAGAGGCTTAAAAAAATCAGGAAATTCATCAGGTCAAGTCTCAAAAGAATTCATGTACCTTGCAAATCAGATAAGACAAAAGACTGCAAGCACGCCAAAGCCAAAAGAGCAAGAGAGACCTCCATCTTTATAATATCAACTGAAGCGCTCACAGCAGTGGCAAGCCCAGGTGAATATTAAAGCATATCCGCATGCCATCCCTGTCTAAACAACCCAGTATTTAGTAAATGTCAAAATCAACCAAAAAATGCATATTGACAAGCAACTGCACTGAAAAAAAATTTAGAATCTGCTATATGAGGTAAAAATATGAAGCAAATTGCCAATTCATCTCAACCAGAGTTTTCTCTGTTTATCATGTTGCTAAGCAATTCTTTTGGTCAATTGTTGCTTGACCACTAGCAAAAATCCCTTGGTAATTCCACTTAAAGTTTGTCCTTCGTGTAACTTTGCCCATGAAAATACTCAATCGCACTTTATGCACTAGTTTGGCCTAAATCCTAGGGGCAGATGAACTTTGCACCAGAATCAGATCATGCCTGCAATAGTTGACCCATTACTACTGAAATAAAATGTGCAAAGAAATCATTTGGCCACTTTACAACACTAACCAGTAAATTTTCAGCTCGGAGTTTCACTAATTTGTAATTGCAATCATAGAGCTCCACTGTTTAATGAAAGAAATTGACAACCAAATAATCTCGACGCCAATTCATTTTAGTGGAGGATTATGCTCATTGGTTTTGGCAATTATGTATCAAATTCTTCAGGGTGGCTCAACTTTGCCGAAAGTCACTAGCGATAAGAACTCGGGGCACCTTATTAGATTGTGAAAGTGTGGGGATAAATAAACCTTGGGAGAAAAGTGATATGGAAGGCAAATTTCATGGGCAAAGGGTGTTATCCGAAAAAAGAGTTTATGATACAATACCAATGACATGGCTAAATATGGAGAAGCGACACTGCTCATAACCCTTACCTATGAAGCTTATCCTCTACAACAAGAAGATAATTTGTTGCAAAACTTATCCTCTACAACTGAATCCTGTAGAACTTCTTAACATAGCAACTTTGGCATCATCAGGCTTAACAGAACATCTGCAACTGAATCCCATCAGGAGCTTATTGGCCAATTTTGAGTGCTCACTCTTTAATGTGCAAGAAATTGTACTCGTACGCAATACAAATTTAGCATCTTCAAGTCATTTATTTCAGTCATTTCACCAGCAAATGTATGCCTCAAGATTTAGTATACACCTCATTGAAAAATCAAAAGGAGTAGGGGAAAGAAAGAGTTCCGTAGGAACATGCATCTGTCAAAGATGACTGAACTATATCCAAAGCATCACCAGGAAAATTTTTCACAAAAAGTTGCTCATTCTGAGCTAAATAAACCAAAAAACTAAAACAGACTCTAGGATCGTTGCTCGTAATTTTTGCAAGTACATACCACGAATGATAGGGCAACTACAGCTGCATTACAAGAAAATGTGAAAACACCATGAAACCACAACAAACACCACCCCCCCCCCCCCCCACACACACACACACAAACACACACACAGAGAGTCTAAACCTAATTCACTCCAATCAGGCTCACTCGCGAAAGAATAATAAAATGATAAGCAATGACCAAAATGTTTCTAAAAACTATCACACCACCTAGAGAACTCTGAAAGAAGGGCAAACTTGTACCCCATCAGCTCCGACCTGATGCATTTTTTAAGTCTTCTTAATCATGAGCATTATAACCATAAATTTCACAAGAAATTGCTCATCCTGAGCTAAGCAAACCAGAAAAGTAAGCAGACTCTAGGATCGTTAGTCGTAATTTTTGCAAGTACTTACCACAAAACTCAAGATTTAATGATAGGGCAACTCCAACTGCATTACAGTCTGAGCATCAAGAGAGAAGGGGGGGGGGGGGGGGGGGGTATGTTCATAGTGTACAGGCCAAACAAAGAAAACAACGACCCATTAAAACAGTTGAGAAAGAACAATCAAAATGCAAGATTGACAACAACAACGGAAGATCTCAGGCAGCATTAAACGAAGCTTTGCAGCTCACAGAGAAATCCACTCCCCTTCCTGCCCCCAAGTTCTTTATAAAACAAATTGAATCAGAAAAGAAACAGAACAAAGGAGACACAAATTACAGAACAGAGACAACAAACCCAGAAACAGTAACCACCGGAACAGCACGTGAGACGACAAGGGACATGGAAAGCGGGGATCAAAGAGAAGAAAAATTACCTCCAGAGGAACCCAATCGACGGAAGTGTGAAATGGGAATGTTTCTTCCTTGAGCAACCGCACAAAAGCAGAAAAGATAACCCACCTACTGTATATCTTTCTTTATCTGTCTTCAAGCCTGGAACATGGTTTATTTTAAGAGGGCGAAGAGACCGAGTTGGACGACGACAGGCCACTGAATTCAAGAAAGGGGTAAGGGTGAAGGGACGGAGAGAGAGAGAGAGGGAGATCGAGAGAACAAAATCTGAAGAGAAGGTTCTTGTGTCCTGTTGCCTTTCCTTGCAATGTCTTCAGTTCTTCGCTAAATCTGAGAGCAAAAGAAGAATGCCCTTTGCGGGGAAGTCTGCAATAATTACCGCTTGGTCTTCAGAGGCTCGCCGAGGGGTGGACTTTTGGGGCGTGGGCAAGTCCGCCTACCCACTCACGACGCTTGGTCTGGAATGAATTCCACGCGAAGACTGATAAAGGACAGATTTTTAAAATGGCTCGCTCTTACCAAAAAATAATAAAGTGTCCGATTCCGACCAAAAAACACGAGCGTCCGAAGATAATTCGGAGTTAGGATAGACGATGAATGAAAACAAGATTCGGATTAGATCTCGAAGATTTTTTAATTGTAGATGCCACTCGATGCAATCCAAGTTTAGTTTGGCCACACTTGACCAATTTGGGTTTGGTTAAAAATCCCAAGTGAATCTCTTTGGCGGAGCTAAAATGGAATTTGCTTAGGATACAAGCCTACTTTCTCGTCTTATCGAGCACTTAAAATTCGTGAAGTCACAGCAATCATTGAAATTAAATTAGTTATTGAACACTTTAGTAAACGACAACAACCGGTACACACTCAACAACAAAGAGCTACCCATTCTAGACATGGCCATGGGCCGGTTTCAGCCCGGAACTGGCCTGGGTCAAATCTGGGACCGGCCTGTTGACCGGATCCGCAGTTCGGAACCGGAACCGGCCCGTGCCCTACGGGCCCGGTTCCGGTTCAAAAAAAAAAACTTTGATTACATTTTAAGTTCAAGCGCCATCTTTTTCTCTCTTTTTTTTCTTCAAATTTGATTATAATGTACATATTGATTATATTTTATATTGAATAATTTATTATTTCATAATCTGATAATTCATTATTTTTTTATTTTATAATTTATTTTTTAAAATTTTTACCGGCCGGTTTCGAACCGGGCCGGAACCGGAACCGGCCCGGAACCGCCGGTTCCGGTTCGTACGTGGCCACGAACCGGAACCGCCGGTTCCGAGCCGTGGGCATGTCTAACCCACTCTATGAAGGGGACTTTGGAGAGGGTTTCGATTCTTGGCGATACACTGTGAAGAAACATCACATGCCATTATACACGCATCATGCTCATGCTGCTCCTCGCTCTGCGAACCGCTCATCTATCCAAGAAGCGCTTCTTCTCATCTTCCCCGCTCTCGAGCTCCGACTACGTCCACGCCCGCCTCGGCTCCATCCTCTCGAGCCGCGCCCCTCCGCCGTCGTCCCTCCCCCAGTCCCACTGCCTCGTCGTGACGACCGGTCACTCCCAGAACGTGTTCATCGCGGCGAAGCTCGTCGCTCTGTACGCGTCTCTCGACCGACCCACGTGCTCGACCCGGGTGTTCGATCGTGTCGAGCCGAAGGACGTCTTTCTCTGGAACTCCATCATCAAAACCCACTTCTCGAATGGCGTGTATTCTCGGGCCATCGAGTTTTACTCGCGAATGCGGGCGGCGAACGAGCTGCCCGATCGGTTTACGATCCCCATGGTCGTGGCCGCCTGCGCAGACATCGGGTCGCTGAATTATGGGATGTGGGTCCACGCTTTGACGTGTAAATGTGGTCTCTTTGCGGGGAGTTCGGCGGTCGGGTCTTCTTTTGTGTACATGTACTCGAAGTGTGGCGAAATGATGGATGCCTCTTTGGTGTTTGATGAAATTCGCGTGCGAGACGTGGTGGCTTGGACCGCGCTTTTGATTGGGTACGTGCAGAATGGGGAAAATGAGAAGGCATTGGGGAGTTTGCGCGAGATGCTAAGGCTAGGCGGGTTGGATGAGAGACCCAATTTTAGAACTATGGAGGGTGGATTTCAAGCTTCTGGGAATCTGGGTGCAGTATCAGAAGGTCGTTGTCTTCATGGTTTAGCGGTAAAAAGTGGACTTTTGTGTTCTGAAGTAGTTAAGTGTTCAGCTTTGTCTATGTACTCGAGATGCGATTCCCCTGAAGATGCTCATTCATCTTTTTGTGAGATTGTCGATAAGGATGTTCTCTCGTGGACATCAGTAATCAGTGTCTATGCAAGGTTCGGATGTATGGCAGAGTGCTTATCTTTGTTTCTTCAAATGCAATCCAGTGGCACATATCCAGATGGAATTGTTACAAGTTGCGTGCTTTTGGGTTTCGCCAATACCATGAGTGTCTCAGAAGGGAGGGCGTTTCATGGGTTACTTATAAGGAGACATTATCTGTTAGTTCTGGATCAGATGGTTCACAATGCATTACTGTCCATGTATTACAAGTTTGGGCTCTTAAATGTTGCTGATAAGCTTTTTGTCAGTAGAGCGCATGAACTTGCGAAAGAGCCATGGAACATCATGGTTTCAGGATGTGGAAAGTTGGGAATGGAAGAGAATTGTATACTGTACTTTAAGAATATGCAACATCTAGGCATCGAATCTGACTCGGATTGTTTGGTCTCTGTCATTTCTTCATGTTCAAAATTAGGAGCAACCAATCCGGGCAAGTCAGTTCATTGTTATGCCATCAGAAGATCAATTGATGGGAATGCCTCATTTAACAATTCACTCATAGGTTTCTATGGTAGGTTGGGTAATTTGGCAGTTGTACAAAGAATTTTTTCAAGGATGAAGAGAGATATTGTCTCATGGAACACTGTAATATCATCTTATGTTCATAATAAGCATTATGAAGATGCCATTGCTCTTTTTGATAGAATGGTATCAGAGGATATGAAGCCCAACTCTGCAACATTAGTCAGCGTGCTTGCAGCCAGTGCTAATCTGGCTTCATCAGAGAAAGGAGAAAGGATCCACCAGTATCTGGAGGAAGAAATGATTGAAATCAACCTTCCTCTTACAACTGCATTAGTTCATATGTATGCAAAATGCGGAAAACTTGACAAAGCGCGTGAATTATTCGACTTAATGAAGGAGAGGGACATTATTTCTTGGAATGTTATGATTTCTGGTTATGGAATGCATGGACATGCGAAATCTGCTGTTGAGATTTTCCAGCTGATGGAGAATTCAAAGGTTAGACCAAGCGCACTCACTTTTCTTGGACTTCTGTCAGCCTGTGCACATGCAGGTCTTGTTGAAGAAGGGAAGCGTCTCTTTTCTAGAATGCAACATTATTCCATTGAACCCAACTTAAAGCACTATACTTGCATGGTAGATCTTCTCAGCAAGTCTGGTGATCTGCAAGGAGCTGAAGAGTTGGTTCTTTTGATGCCTGTGCGACCCGATGGTGGTGTATGGGGGGCTCTGTTAAGTGCTTGTGCCATCCATGAAAAACTGGAGGTCGGAATGAGGGTTGCAAACCATGCGATTCAATCTGAACCAGCTAATGATGGATATTACGTGTTGCTTTCTAATATGTGTAGTTCTATGGGGAGATGGGAAGAGGCGGAGATGGTCAGGAAAATGATGAAAGGTGGGGGTGTGCCGAAGCGAGCAGCCTGGAGTGCAACATAATTGGAGTAGATCTTCTTGCAAGTATCTTGCTCTTTGAGATAAAGAAAGCCAATGACTGTAATGCTCCGCAGCAACTCAGTTTCAGAGAGGTAGGCTCGCTAAATACAGACTTGCTCAGAGGTGGACCTGGTTGCAATATTCGAGCTATATCGGTAAAAGCTTGCTTTTTAATTTTTTCCCCAGTTTGAGTGTGACATTCCTTGATCTTTCAAGAATACTGAAGAAACGAATGCTAGCGTTGTATATCCATCATTCCAGTTGTTTGCAGATTCTTGGTCAATCCATTTTTTAATCCTTTGCATTGAGTAAACATATCAGTGCTCTCACCTTTTTGGCCGATCGGTATGACAATAAGGAATGCATATTGCTTGTACAATTACAGGAGAACTATGTCAGAGTATGATAGCATAAGGGAGCCAGCATTCCTCTTGATCAGACATCACTGTTCCAGGGGCTGATGAGATCAAAGTTGATTGAGTTGGGATCTGAAGTTTGCTTTACATTCGGCTTAGGGTGAGAATTGCTGTCGCTTTGTGCTGGCAACTTTATCAACTGACAAATAGTTTCATCTTTAGTAAGAATTTGAGATTGTTTTTTTTCCCTTTGCATAGAATGATAGCTCATCTTGCTTTCACTTGCTGTGGTGGGTAGAATGGTGATACCAGTGGTTTTGGAGCAATCCTTGGTTTTGGGAGTATGATGCTGGAAGGTTAAAGGTAATTTTCTGCACTTTTATGAATGTTCATGCATGTGCACAATTTATGTGGCTGCTGGGTTCATAGCACAAGTGGAATTTCAAATAGAGACAAGACCCTGCTGAAGACCGAATAAATTACTTATTAATAGACTCCATCGTACTCCACCAGGCTCATAGTTATTAGAATACTTAACTTACCACATAAGAATGCCGCCGAATCAACCATTTAGTGAGCCAAATGAAGCAAGATTAGTTAGGCATGACAGTAATTTATTTGTAATCTTATTTGCTATAATATCCGGTACGTTTTGCATCAACTGATGCTTATTTTCTAGCTCAGAGAATCAAGGAATTTCGAAATGATGCAATGGATGTCATGCTGCAGTGGTTGTCATTGGTAGTTGAAGCTGATTTCTAACCTGACCACGGTTCTTCCTGTCAGTGAGCGAACTTGCTAATATCAAGCCACCATCATGTTGCGATCTTACTTGCAGTTTTACCGTGTGTTCTCTTTTGTTGGATATCCATTTTGCACGATTTTTGTGTCATTGGTGAATTTTGCTCTGGATAGTTGCTCTTTGGCTGTGGACTATTACCTGTTGCATTGAATTGCAGGGTGCAGTCCCCAAGTAATTACAATGCTCTGGGAACAAGCAAATGTGATCCGAGTGAAGCAAACAAATGGCCATGGGGTGTGTGAGCAGCCGGTATAACTTCAAGATCTGCAAGCATTGGCCAGTTGAGGTTTGTCGATGCTGTTTCGTCAGGTGCAGAGGCAACACTACATCCCCGTTATGTTCCATCAACTATTTGTAATTTTTTAACGGTAGGTAGATGCTGTTCCAGTTATTCGGTTGCCCTGTGCTATTGAACGTTCTTGATGTGAGACGTCTTTGTTAATATTAGCGTTATCTCTCGATTATAAGTTCCCGGAAGTGCTACGGCTCCTCCAAATCTTCAGATGGCTCGGGCTGAGCTTGACACGGCGAAGTTGTCGCATGGAATGCTCGAAGCTCGTCGGTTAAAGACAAAAATTTGTCTGTGCAGTGTGCACTCTCCAAATAGGATTGAGTGTTCTAGTAAAAGTGGCCCTTTGTAACTCTTTATCTGGTGATATGTCAATACCCAGAATCTGTCCAAATCACAACTAATTTAATCGTTGCCTAGAAATTTTCTTCTGGTATTATTTTTTATTTTTTTAGAGAAGAAGATAGATCTATTGGCACGTGGAATAAAACCTACGACATCGACTTTATTATTTTTTTTCCTATTTTTTATTTGCAAATTTATGATTTTTCTGCTAGTCGGCTGATTTGTTCCCATCCATACCTACATGTGTTGAAAAGTAAGGTCATGGAGTAGATTTCAATTCAAGATTAGGTTGATGTCGATGTCCCTTTTCTTTCTTAATAATTCTAAGTAACAGACGGGTAACCCGGCATTTTTTATAGAAAAATTAAATTAATTTTTTCTTGATGACAAAATTCAAAAGAATTTAAATTGATTGTTTTTTCAGATATTGAAACTAATACAAAAAAAAAATGAAGAAAATAAATGAGAAACACACATCCAATTGAATGCGAACATAGTACAAGCACATTTTTAAATAATTTCAAGGAGAAAATTAAATGTCTCTGTGCTCCAATGACAATTATACACAAATTACACTTAAAGAAATGTTTGAGACCCAAGCACAGTTCCAATCATGTCGGGTCGGGGCATGCCGTGCCCGGGTTGGCACGGCCGAGCGGCTACCCTCACAGGCGGCAACGGGAGGATTCAACGGCGGCAATAGGAGGATTCGATCAGAGTTGATCGGTCTCAACATATTTGCCTCTCTCTCTCTCATCGCAACTGTTATTGAATGTCCTAACTCCAGTTTCATTATCCGTCTTCGTTGGGTCGAGTGTACTGACAATCTTAAAACTTGTCACGAAAATACAATTAAGTTCTGAAACTTATCAAGTCGGTGCGATCAAGTTCTAAAACTCGTTAGCATTTTTCGTCTGTCAAGTTGGACAGGAGTCAAGAGAAGGACTTTGATTGTATCAATTTGACAAGTTTCAAGAATTGATTGCATCGCACTCCCTTGATAAATTTTAGGACTTAATTGCATAATTTAAAATTTTGAAGACTCTCAATTGCGTGGTTTCATGCGGTCAAAGAACGGGGGTTGGTCGCGGTACACCCAAAGACAAAGAAAATGACCAAAAAGAAGGGGAAACAAGTCGGTCAACCCCAGCCAATTTTGACCGTTGACGGATGGAAAACGGTTAAACAAACCCTCATCAGAAAACGGTGGAAGAAGAAGACCACCTCTGGCCATTCAGATCAACGAGACCCGTGATTCGTCAAACTGTATCTGTAGTCAAAGTGTTCGTCTGATGTTCCTGTTTTTAGCTTAAAATAAGGTTTGCCCAGGAAGACCGGCGCAGCGACAGCAGGCGATCGGTGAAGAAGAAGATCATCTTCGGCGCTTGCAGTCTTCAGCAGCAGACCTTTTCTGAAAAATTTGTACAGCCACTTCTAGAAAGAGCGTTCCCTTTCGGTGCATAACAATAATATCGTCTCGAGACAACCGTGAACGGCGGGATTGGTGTCCGGCCCGATTTTTCAAACGTACTCCCCCCCGTGGCTGACACTGATTTCACGAACTTTGATTTTAAAAAAACTTGACAAGATTGGGGACTCTTCGTTGCGCACTTTCGAAAACGACACCCTCCTTTTCCATATAATTTAACAATTACTTTTTGGGCTCTCGAAAAAATTAATTTTGTTTGTACCTCTGGGAAAGATGACAAATTCTTTTTGGCTCTGTTCATCCAGTCATGCACGCTCTTTGTCATCTCCTCTTTTCATGTGGGTGGAGTTCAAGCTGACGCGTAATTATTAAGAACAATGAGACAATTTTAACTCAATATATAATATAGTTCATAATTTTTTAATTTATTTAACATGATTCATGAATTGTAATTCAATATATGTAACGTGATCTCTAAATTTTTAATTTATTCAATATCATCCCTAAACTTTTGGTACATATTCAATGCAGCCATTCTATTAATTTAAGTTTAGGAACTATAATGAACATTTTCATATAATTTATATGTACAAAAAATTCAGGAATCATATTGAACAAATTAAAAATTCGGAAAACACATTACACATTGGACTAAAGTTTAGAGATCATTGTGTCATTATCCCAATATATTAATTAATTAGCAAATTAACGACGAAGAATCCACTTCTCTTGTCGAACTCGCCCGGCAAATCTGTTTGCATCCTCTGTTTCTTCCTCCATGTTTGAATGGTACAGCAACGACCATCACTCAGCAGCCGCAGAGTGACCCCCACCACGGGGTTGACCAACCCGACCCTTTGAACAAAGCGTCGTCGACCGTCGTCTTCCCCACTTCAGGAGAGACCCCTCTCTAATCGCCACACACCCACCATTGAAGCTCTGCTTCTACAGAGAGGGAGAGGGAGAGGGAGGCAGAGCCGCAGAGGCAGAGGCAGAGAGAAGAAGCTTCGAGCTTTAAGCTTCGTTCCAATGGCCAAGTGCTTCAGCTTCACGGCGACGAGGGACCGGTGCCTCCGCTTCTCCTTCTCGCGGTCCGGCCTTAAGTCCACCGTCACCGACCTCGGCGACGGCACGGTGATGCACTGCTGGGTCCCCAAGAGGCCCAACCCGGCGAGGCCCGACCTCCTCCTCCTCCACGGCATCGGGGCCAACGCAATGTGGCAGTGGAACGACTTCGTCTCCCCGCTCGCCGCCCGCTTCAACGTCTACGTCCCCGACCTCGTCTTCTTCGGGGACTCCTACACGACCAGGCCCGAGCGGAGCGAGCAATTCCAGGCCCAGTGCGTGGTTGCTCTGATGGAGGCGATCGGTGTGAAGAAGATGAATGTGGTGGGGATGAGCTACGGAGGGTTCGTGGCGTACAGCCTGGCGGTTCAGTTCGGGGAGAGGGTGGATAAATTGGTGCTGATCTGCGCGGGGGTGTGCTTGGAGGAGAAGGACATGGAGGAGGGGATGTTCAGGGTTCGGAGCGTGGACGAGGCGGTGAGCGTGCTGCTGCCGCAGCAGCCGGAGAAGGTCCGGGACTTGGTGCGCATTTCGTTCCACCGTCCGCCCAAGAAGATGCCCACTTGCTTCCTCCAGGACTTCATCGATGTGAGTAAAATGTTTATCCCAGATAATGTCATGTTCGCGTGTTGGATTGGGTTTTATGAATTGTAAGTTTTGCTTGAGCGTGCTAAAACTCGGTTCTTTTCGAGTCTGTGCTAGTTCATCGAGATCTGCTTATATAATCATGTCTTAAAAAGGACATTCCCGTGGCATCATCGTCCTGTTATGGTTGGGGCATTGATGCTGCTAATGGATTGTAGTTACCTCAAGAACTGGCAGTTTTTTGGAGAGCAATCTTGAGGACATTTTTGAGCGAGTGATTTGCGGAACCTCCTCAGTTTTCTGCTTTTGGGCATGTGATGCTGGGAAAGTGCAGGTGATGTGGATGGATGACAGTAATCCAGCTGGTACTAAGAAAGAATCATAGTTCCATAGGCTAAATTCGCATACATATATGGTTGACGGTGGTTCCAATTTGCTCATCATTATGGTTTTTAGAAGGGTTTAGAGTCACTTCCATTGAGTTTTGGACATTGCTGATACATGTTTGTTTAAATTGAAACCAGACCTTCTCCAATTGATCCAACAGGACGTTTAGTGGATACCTTGTTTAAACTTTGATGTTTTTCGCAGGTTATGTGCACAGAGTATCTTCAAGAGAGGATAGAATTGATTACTGCTCTACACAAGGACAGAAAACTGTCTAACCTACCAAAGCTAGCCAAGGTTTATGCTTCTTTATCTGTCAATGCTGTCCTAGATCTCTTCCTCCATACATCTCTTCATCTCGCTAAATCGTAGTTGACTCTTGATGCAGTCGCCGCTGATCATTTGGGGGGAGCACGATGTTGTATTTCCAATGGAGTTGGCTGAAAGATTGAAACGGTTAGCTTGTTGTACTATCTGAATGTGCCGTCGCACTGGAGACCCTTTTTGCATTGAGGGAGGGAGCAATTAAGATGCTAGAGTCTAGATTATCTGATAGTTTTCGCCCGTAATTAGGTTCCGCGACTTAATTAAAAGGACTCGGACAGTTGAAGCAGTTGTTCGCTCCTATCAAACTCCATCAAACAAGTCGAAAAAGCCTGCCGTTCTCATTTTCCTCTTTCCGAAACTTATAGAGACACCCTAACTATTTGGTTCGAGTACGCAGCTCCCTTTGTTTTAAAAATTCACATTGTCCACTGATTGTTGTCGCAGGACTCGGAATTTCATGGACTCAGGGAATGTAGATGACAATCTTTACAACTTTATCGCATTCCAATCTGTGTTGCCTTATTTTCCTGTCGTCAAACTACAGGATTGTGTCCGTCTGATTTGCCCCTTCTGTTCTGCTGCATTGAACAGGCATGTGGATGGAGATGCACAACTGGTGGTCATAAAGGATGCAGGGCACGCCATCAATGCAGAGAAGCCCAAAGAGATGTACAAGATCTTGAAAACTTACCTCGTCGATCCGCCCACTTCGCATGAGCCCGGAAACCAGATGAATGGTCGGAAGGCAGACTGAAGGCATCAACTTGCCGAGTTTTCGATCATATAATACTCGGGGAATGTATGGCATTTTTGGGACAGCACTGGAATTTTTGAATTGCTACTGGAATGCATGCAAGATGAGGACATCAAAATACAGCTATAGAATGTACAAAAAGTACATCTTTAATCATGTTTTTAATGTTGTATGGTTTAAAATACCTTACAGAAGGAAAACAAATTGGATTTAATTCTTCTTTTTTCAATATATTTCCGGCAGACATGGGAATATGGTGATTATTCGTTTTTAATCTAATCATTCAAATAGACAACCTCCTTAATAAAGGGCGATGTAAAATGCTAGAATTCCAATCCATAATTGCTAATTTGCAACGATTAAACTCATTAAAACTCACAGTAATTCTTTTTGAGTCCGGGCTAGTTCATCGATATCTGCTTCTATACTCATGTCGAAGAAATGACATTCTCGTGGCACTGTCGTCTTGTTATGGTTGAGGCTTTGATGTTGTCAGTGAATTGTAGTTTACCTCAGGAATCGGAAGTTCTTTTGGAGGATAAAGATGGGGACCTCGAGGACTTCATCGAGTGAGTAATATTGCGGGACCTCGTTGGTTTTCTGCATTTGGACATGTGGCGACGGGAATGTGCCAGTGAAATGGATGGATGATGGTAATCCAGTTGGTGCTTGAAGGCATTAAAGTTGGATAGGCTACATTTGCATACACATACGGTCGACGGTGGTTCGGATTTGCTAGTCATTATGGTTCTTGGGAGTTCAGAAGAGTTTGGAGTCATTTTGATGGAGTTCTGGACATTGTTGATACAAGTTTCTTTCAACTGAAACCTCATGTTATTCTCTAATCGATCGAATGGGACATTTAGTGGATGCTCAGTTCAAGCTTTGATGTTTTTCGCAGGGAAGCACAGAGCATCTTCAAGAGAGGATAGAGTTGATCCATGCTCTACACAAGGACAGAAAACTGTATAACCTACCAAAGCTAGCTAAGGTTTATGCTTCTTAATAATCAAGCTGTCCTGAATCACTTCCTTTCTACATCTCTTCATCTTGCTAAATCATAGTTGACTCTTGATGCAGTCGCCGCTGATCATTTGCAGGGCTCATGACAAAGTATTTCCGATGGAGATGACATAATTCATGCGTTTTGATTGAACTTCAAGCCATCCGATGGGTGTTGCCTTATGTTTTTTCATCAAATTACAGGAATGTGTCCGTCTAATTTACCCTTTCCCTTTTATTGTATTGAACAGTCGTGGGAATGGAAATGCACAACCAGTGGTAATAAAATATGCAGGGCACGCCATCATTGCAGAGAAGCCCAAAGAGATGTACAAGATCTTGAAAAGTTTCCTCGTCGATCCGCTCGCTCCACATGGGCAAGGAAACCAGATGAACGGTCGAAAGGCGGACTGAAGGTCTTGAATTGTTGACGTTTCAATCATATAATACTGGTGGAATGTGTCGCATAGAGCACTGGGATTTTTGAATTACTACTGGAACGCATGCAAGATTAAGACAGCAAATGCAATTATAGAATGTAAAGAAAGTAAATATCTTTATTCATATTATTTAATGCTTCCTGATTTAACATACCATGTCGAAGGAACCAGTGCAAACTAACAAATTGGAAACAAGAAGAGGGAAATCTTCAACCATGGTGTTTTTATTTCTTCTTCTTTCGATATATTTTCGGAATACTTGGGAATCTGGTAATTGTTCCCTTTGATCTAATCATTCAAATGGACAACCTCCTTAATAAATCTATTGAAGTCGTTGAACGATGACCCTCCGCGACGGGCGGCTTCCACAGCTCTCTCCTTCCACTTCTTAGCATTCTCCCTCATCTTCTTCCCGCCGACCCCTTCCATCACTTCCCGAACAAGAGCTTCTATTTCCTGGCGCCTCACGTCCTGGTTCACTTCCATGCCAATCCCCCATTCCGTACACGCGTACCGACAGTTTGTCGTTTGCTCGGCAAAGAACGGCCAGCAAATGAGGGGAACCCCTCCGCAGATACCTTCCAAGGTAGAATTCCAACCGCAGTGCATTAGGAAAGCGCCGACCGATCCGTGACTCAGGACTTGATCCTGCGGACACCAGCTCGTCAAGAACCCTCTGTCTTCCACTTCCTCGAGGAACTCCTGAGGCAGAATTGCAGAATCACCCTCCACAACATCAGGCCTGATCACCCACAAAAATGGGTGCTTGCTATTTGCAAGCCCCCAAGCAAACTCCTTCAGGTGTTCCTCAGTCATGACAGTGACACTCCCATAGTTCACATACACAACCGACTCGGCTTCTCTCTGATCGAGCCATTCGAGGCAGCTGTAGTCTTCCTTCCACAGATTTGACCTGAAAGACTTGACTGAGCTCGAGGGAATATCCTGGACGAGCAAGGAAAGGGGCCCAGTACAGTAAATTCGAGGGGAAATGTCTGCGATTTTCTCCAGTACTTCGTGTTCAAACTCATTAAAGGTGTTGAACAAGATAGCAGATGATTTCAGGCAGTGCTGCACTTCTTCTCCTTGGAAGTCAAACAAGATGTCGTTCCGGTCTGTCGTCCGTATGAAGCTCGGGATGTCCCGGAGTCGGATGTTTCTCATGCCTGGGATCCAATCGACAGGATCATTGAGCGTCCCGTTGTTCAAGAAGTCTTCATCTGTTACATTTAACATGTAGTGAGGATCCAATCCAGCACTCTAACAAGAGAAACAAATGAATGGAAATAACTCAAGAAGGGAGAGATAACTAAATAAACAAATAAAGATCTAGTGAGTTTATCCGAGAGAAGCAAAAATGAATCAAATAAACAAAGTAAGTACCTTTGAATGGAACGATCCCTCTCTTAACAAGCTCTCTGTACTGCAAATAACACATGAACCCACCAGCCGAGGCAGTCCAGAACCGAACCTCTGGAACTCCAAACTCCCTCGCAGCTTCACTGGCAAAACCCGCTATCCCATCTGCTATCACACAACTCACAGGCGGAACAACCTCGTCGCTATTGATCTTGGCGAGCAATTCCTTGAAAGGGCCCAAGCAGTTCTTCCGGGTCGAGTCGCTGAGGGCTGGGGGATCCTGCGTCGCGTCACGGTCCGATGGCGGGAGGCCATCCGGGATCGTCTCGAAGCGGAAGTTTTCGAGGTCCGGGAGTGAATCGGGCCCCTTAGCCCGGAGGAGGCGGCGGTGGTTGAACTCGGTGTTGACGAACGTGACGAGGACGCCGCGCGCGTGGAGGAGCTTGGCGAGCTGCATCATGGGGTTGATGTGGCCTTGGGCCGGGAAGGGGACGCACACGGCGTGTGCAAGTGCATGGGATTTTCTTGATTCTTGGGAAGACGAAGCCATCACCACGCCTTTCCCTAGGGCAAGATCAAGAAGTATTTACTGGGTGCTGGAACTCGGAACTGATCCAGTTCTGCCACATCTGTTCAATTTCGGTCGGTCTTTTCAGATTTATGTTAGATGCGCAAAAGACAGTTCAAACAATCACCGTTAGACACGCGGGAGATGCATACGTATATATGGTGATTGTATATTTCATTTTTTACACTAATCATAGAGTGCATACGAATTTTCTGGTCTTTTAGATGTGATTGACTGCAGATTCTTGAAAGACGACAAAGTGGTCCGTTGACTTAAGTACCTCGCACGCCAAAGTTGTCATTTGAACGGCAGATTTCACGGAAACGTTTCTCATTTTAAGGTGCTCTTTTCCTCAATTCCCTCCAAATCTTTTTTTTTTTTTTTGGAGGAGGGGATGCCCTTTAGTTGCTTTGCATGCTAGGGATCCTGAGGTTCGGACGGGGTCTAAAATGAAACCTTTTAAAAATATGCTTAGATTCGATTTGAAATTCTTGAAAGTTGACAAGGTGGTCCGGTAACTTGATTACCTCAAACACGTAAGTTGTGCCTTTGAAAAGTCATTTGGTTTGACACATGACCAACATCAATTTCCTAGCTGATAAAAAATCAGCTGGATCGATAACGACAATTTCATGGTGCATATATATGAATAAACATTACAGTATTAATTGTTTGTTTATGGTTTTGTGAGATTTTGTGATATCACTATCAATTATTTAGAAGTTTGAACTAATTTCTTGTGGCTACAATTTGGAGTATACAATGCGAAGGCAAATAAGGGATCTGAAAAGATTCAAATTCGAGAATCCATTCTTTGATACCATGTGAGCTTCAGTAGTGCCACCGTTAACTATTTTTAAAATTTAAGCCGTTAGTTGAACACGTTGTTTACTATTTAAATATACTACTAAGTTTATTTCTTTAGGTAAGAAAAATGTATGAAATCTTATTCATATCATGAAGATGCACTCGAAGCTTGAGCAAGGAGTTGAAAGTCCAAATTATTTGCGTTCGATAAAGCGAGAATCAAACCCTATAATAGTATTTCCTACTCACGAAAGTAATTTCTCAATCGGCCTACACCAACGATTTTTGCTGTAAATTTTTGTTCAATACTAGTCGGGTAATGATAATATCTTTTCTATCGATCTTAAAAAAATGCAAAAGATAATATCTAAATGCATTATATTAATTAAGTGATACTTAATCACTTGTTACAAAATTATTATTTACACTTAGATAGTGAATTTCGGCTGTAATTTAATACATATCTCAGCAGAATTACTCATGCAAACAGACAAAATTGCTGCACGACGCTGCGTGTCCTTTTTTCCTGGCTATTTTTCCAAAACGCACCGCGTTCGTGGAGTAATATTTGGTAAGACCAGTCAAAACGACGAAAAAAAGGGCTATATGTCCTCACGTGATTCAATAATGCTGTTCGAAATTGACCGGTATCGTCATCATCGGATGGGCGGACAAAGATGACCGGCGGTGGTTGTCCGGTTCGTGAAATTGACCACCAACATCGTGCCACGTCGGCACGTGTGGTCCGTGGAGGGGGGCTATTTGATGCGAAATGAGAAGAGGTTCGATTGGTTTTCGATCATGATCATATTTGTAGGGAAAATGATATACAAAAGGTTTAGGACCGAATTGACATAAATACAAAAGGTTTAGGATTGAATTGGCATCAAAAAAAGTTTATGACTAAATTGACACCAATGCAAAAAGTTTAAGACTGAATTAGTACCAAAAAAAAGATTTAAGACTAAATTGACACTAATGCCAAAAGTTTAGGACTTTTTTGACACTTTTCCCTTTATTATTGGGTTAGTTAATTGGCAAAAAGTAGGCCACTGAAATAAAGGTATATCATACAATAGTTGGTAAATTTAATTGATGAAAAGGCAAACAGAAGCCGGCAGAAGATAAGAAAATTATTATAGAAGATAAGTTGGTAATTTCAGGTGTAATTTTTGACAATTTTTTTCTATTGCACATCTATTAATCGAAAAACTTCCAGCGGTCCAGACACACTTGGTCTAACTAATATTTTTTTACAATTCCACCAGCCGCCCAAGGCGATGCCCTCTTGCTTCCTCCAGGACTTCATTGATGTGAGTATAATGTTTCTCCAAGATAATATCATGCTCGCGTGTCTGGTTCGGGTTATGAATTGTAGGTTTTGCTCGAACATGCCAAAAGTCGGTTCTTTTCAAGTCCGGGCTAGTTCATCGATATCTGCTTCTATACTCATGTCGAAGAAATGACATTCTCATGGCGCTGTCGTCTTGTTATGGTCGAGGCATTGATGTTGTCAGTGGATTGTAGTTTACCTCAAGAATCGGAAGTTCTTTTGGAGGATAAAGATGGGGACCTTGAGGACTTCATCGAGTGAGTAATATTGCGGGACCTCGTTGGTTTTCTGCATTTGGACATGTGGTGACGGGAATGTGCCAGTGAAATGGATGGATGATGGTAATCCAGTTGGTGCTTGAAGGCATTACAGTTGGATAGGCTACATTTGCATACACGTACGGTCGACAGTGGTTCGGATTTGCTAGTCATTATGGTTCTTGGGAGATCAGAAGAGTTTGGAGTCATTTTGATGGAGTTCTGGACATTGTTGATACAAGTTTCTTTCAACTGAAACCTCGTGTTATTCTCTAATCGATCGAATGGGACATTTAGTGGATGCTCAGTTCAAACTTTGATGTTTTTCGCAGGGAATGTGCACAGAGCATCTTCAAGAGAGGATAGAGTTGATCCATGCTCTACACAAGGACAGAAAACTGCATAACCTACCAAAGCTGGCTAAGGTTTATGCTCCTTAATAATCAAGCTGTCCTGAATCACTTCCTTTCTACATCTCTTCATCTTGCTAAATCATAGTTGACTCTTGATGCAGTCGCAGCTGATCATTTGCAGGGCGCATGACAAAGTATTTCCGATGGAGATGACATAATTCATGCGTTTTGATTGAACTTCAAGCCGTTTGATGGGTGTTGCCTTATGTTTTTGCATCAAATTACAGGAATGTGTTCGTCTGGTTCACCCTTTCCCTTTTATTGTATTGAATGTGAATGGAAATGCACAACTAGTGGTAATAAAATATGCAGGGCACGCCATCATTGCAGAGAAGCCCAAAGAGATGTACAAGATCTTGAAAAGTTTCCCCGTCCATCCGCTCGCTCCACATGGGCAAGGAAACCAGATGAACGGTCGAAAGGCGGACTGAAGGTCTTGAATTGTCAAGGTTTCAATCATATAATACTGGTGGAACGTGTCGCATTTTGGGGAGAGCACTGGGATTTTTGAATTACTACTGGAACGCATGCAAGATTAAGGCAGCAAATGCAATTATAGAATGTAAAGAAAGTAAAATATCTTCATTGATATTATTTAATGCTGCATGACTTAACAAAGCATGTCGACGGAACCGGTGCAAACTAACAAATTGGAAACAAGAAGAGGGAAATCTTCAACCATGGTGTTTTTATTTCTTCTTCTTTCGATATATTTTCGGAATACTTGGGAATCTGGTAATTGTTCCCTTTGATCTAATCATTCAAATGGACAACCTCCTTAATAAATCTATTGAAGTCGTTGAACGATGACCCTCCGCGACGGGCGGCTTCCACAGCTCTCTCCTTCCACTTCTTAGCATTCTCCCTCATCTTCTTCCCGCCGACCCCTTCCATCACTTCCCGAACAAGAGCTTCTATTTCCTGGCGCCTCACGTCCTGGTTCACTTCCATGCCAATCCCCCATTCCGTACACGCGTACCGACAGTTTGTCGTTTGCTCAGCAAAGAACGGCCAGCAAATGAGGGGAACCCCTCCGCAGATACCTTCCAAGGTAGAATTCCAACCGCAGTGCATTAGGAAAGCGCCGACCGATCCGTGACTCAGGACTTGATCCTGCGGACACCAGCTCGTCAAGAACCCCCTGTCTGCCACTTCCTCGAGGAACTCCTGAGGCAGAATTGCAGAATCGCCCCCCACAACATCAGGCCTGATCACCCACAAAAATGGGTGCTTGCTATTTGCAAGCCCCCAAGCAAACTCCTTCAGGTGTTCCTCAGTCATGACAGTGACACTCCCATAGTTCACATACACAACCGACTCGGCTTCTCTCTGATCGAGCCATTCGAGGCAGCTGTAGTCTTCCTTCCACAGATTTGACCTGAAAGACTTGACTGAGCTCGAGGGAATATCCTGGACGAGCAAGGAAAGGGGCCCGGTACAGTAAATTCGAGGGGAAATGTCTGCGATTTTCTCCAGTACTTCGTGTTCAAACTCATTAAAGGTGTTGAACAAGATAGCAGATGATTTCAGGCAGTGCTGCACTTCTTCTCCTAAGAAGTCGAACAAGATGTCGTTCACGTTTGTGGTCCGTATGAAGCTCGGGATGTCCCGGAGTCGGATGTTTCTCATGCCGGGGATCCAATCTACAGGATCATTGAGCGTCCCGTTGTTCAAGAAGTCTGCATCTGTTACATTTAACATGTAGTGAGGATCCAATCCAGCACTTTAACAAGAGAAACAAATGAATGGAAATAACTCAAGAAGGGAGAGATAACTAAATAAACAAATAAAGATCTAGTGAGTTTATCCGAGAGAAGCAAAAATGAATCAAATAAACAAAGTACCTTTGAATGGAACGATCGCTCTTTTAACAAGCTCTCTGTACTGCAAATAACCCAAGAACCCACAAGCCGAGGCAGTCCAGAACTGAACCTCTGGGACTCCAAGCTCTCTCGCAGCTTTACTGGCAAAACCCGCTATCCCATCTGCTATCACACAACTCACAGGCGGAACAACCTCGTCGCTATTGATCCTGGCGAGCAATTCCTTGAAAGGGCCCAAGCAGTTCTTCCGTGTCGAGTCGCAGAGGGCTGGGGGATCCTGCGTCGCGTTGCGGTCCGACGGCGGGAGGCCATCCGGGATCGTCTCGAAGCGGAAGTTTTCGAGGTCCGGGAGTGAATCGGGCCCCTTAGCCCGGAGGAGGCGGCGGTGGTTGAACTCGGTGTTGACGAACGTGACGAGGACGCCGCGCGCGTGGAGGAGCTTGGCGAGCTGCATCATGGGGTTGATGTGGCCTTGGGCCGGGAAGGGGACGCACACGGCGTGTGCAAGTGCATGGGATTTTCTTGATTCTTGGGAGGACGAAGCCATCACCACGCCTTTCCCTAGGGCAAGATCAAGAAGTATATACTGGGTGCTGGAACTCGGAACTGATCTAGTTCTGCCACATCTGTTCAATTTCGGTCGGTCTTTTCAGATTTATGTTAGATGCGCAAAAGACAGTTCAAACAATCACCGTTAGACACGCGGGAGATGCATACGTATATATGGTGACTGTATATTTCATTTTTTACACTAATCATGGAGTGCATACGAATTTTCTGGTTTTTTAGATGTGATTGACTGCAGATTCTTGAAAGACGGCAAGGTGGTCTGTTGACTTAAGTACCTCGCACACCAAAGTTGTCATTTGAAAGGCGAGCTCTACAGAACCGTTCCTTATTTTAATGTGTCGGTACTCGCATGCTCTTTCCCCCATTTACCTTCAAATCTTTTTTTTTTTTTTTTAGGAGGGGATGCCCTTTAGTTGCTTTACATGCTGGGGATCCTGAGGTTCGTATGGGGTTTAAAATGAAACATTTTAAGAACATGCTTAGATTCGACTCGAAATTCTTGAAAGATGACAAGGTGGTCTGGTGACTTGATTACCTCAAATACGTAAGTTGTGCCTTTGAAAAGTCATTTGGTTTTATACATGACCAACATCAATTTCCTAGTTGATAAAAAATTAGCTGGATCGACAACGACAGTTTCACGGTGCATATATAGGAATAAACATTACAGTATTAATTGTTTGCTCATGGTTTTGTGAGATTTTGTGATATCACTATCAATTATTTATAAGTTTGAACTAATTTCTTGTGGCTACAATGTGGAGTATACAATGAGAAGGCAAATAAGGGATCTGAAAAGATTCAAACTCGGGAATTCCTTCTTTGATACCATGTGAGCTTTAGTAGTGCCACTGTTAACTATTTTTAAAATTTAAGCCGTTAGTTGAACACGTTGTTTACTATTTAAATATACTACTAAGTTTATTTCTTTAGGTAAGAAAAATGTATGAAATCTTATTCATATCATAAAGATGCACTTGAAGCTTGAGCAAGGAGTTGAACGTCCAAATTATTTGCATTCGATAAAGCGAGAATCAAACCCTGTAATAGTATTTCCTACTCACGAAAGTAATTTCTCAATCGGCCAACGCTAGCGATTTCTGCTATAAATTTTTGTTCAATACTAGTCGGGTAATGATAATATCTTTTTTATCGATCTTAAAAAAATGCAGAAGATAATATCTAAACGCATTCTATTAATTAAGTGATACTTAATCACTTGTTACAAAATTATTATTTACACTTAGATAGTGAATTTCGGCTGTAATTTAATACGTATCTCAGCAGAATTCCTCATGCAAACAGACAAAAATGCTGCACGACGCTGCGTGTCCTTTTTTCCTGGCTATTTTTCCAAAACGCACCGAGTTCGTGGAGTAATGTTTGGTAAGACTAGTCAAAACGACGAAAAAAGGGGCTATATGTCCTCACGTGATTCAATAATGCTGTTCGAAATTGACCGGTTTCGTCATCATCGGATGGGCGGACAAGATGACCGGCGGTGGTTGTCCGGTTCGTGAAATTGACCACCAACATCGTGGGACGTCAGCACGTGTGGTCCGTGGAGGGGGCTATTCGATGCGAAATGAGAAGAGGTTCGATTGGTTTTCGATCATTATAATATTTATAGGAAAAATGACACAAATAATCTCTAAACTTCGGCATAATGTGTAACGTAGTTCATAAACTTTCAATTTATTCAATATGATCCATGAACTTTAACCCGATATACAATGTAATCTCTGAACTTTTAATTTATTTAATGTCGTCCCCGAATTTTTGATTTGTGTTCAATATAATCTTTAAACTATATGAAAAAGTATAATGTAGTCTCTGAACTTGAATTAATAGAATGATTACATTGAACATGTACCAAAAGTCCAGGGATCACATTGAACAAAGTAAAAGTTCAGGGACCACAACAAATATTAAGCTAAAATTAATGGACTATATTGAACAAATTAAAAGTTCAGAGACCACATTACATAATGGATCAAAGTTCAAGGACTGTTTGTGTCATTATCCCATATTTGTAAAATGAATGGTGGTGTGGCTCTACCGGAATAGGGTGGATCAGAGACAATTCAAAGTATCATTGCCCCTTGTTGTACTTTGTATTTTGTTCTCTTAAAAAGCAGCCACTTTAGGTCGGGTTCTAATTCTGGCCTGAATCCCTTTTCGTCTCGTGAAAGTACGTCAACTTTAGCTCGTGTTCCAATCTCGGGACTAACTTTTTGTTTGGTCTCATTTAAAAAGCACCGGCCCAGAACTTTTTTGGTGTCTCATAAAAAAATAACACCAATTCTCAGTCGGTACCTAAATCTATCACACGTCAAGGTCTAATGATGCCGTGTTCCACTTGTACTTGGCGGAAATTTGATGGCAGTTAGATTTAGGTATTGAACTAAAATTAGTGTTTTTTTACGAGAAAAAAAAAGTTCTGGCCATAATTGGACGTGAGTGAATTGTTACATTTTTATAAGGCAAAAAAAGTTTAGGCCAATATTTGGATTTTAGTTAAAGTTGGTGTTTTTTAAGGGAATTGAGCTGTATTTAGTTTCGATGAAATCTCCAAGTTTCTACTAAAATTAAAATTACAGCAATCGCTTTTTTTTTTCAGCTAACTTGTGTACTATTATTGTTATGCAATTACCAACTTTTTTGTTTATTTGTAAAGCACCAACTTTTATTTGTGTAATCTACTATCATTTCGGATTTACTAACTCTTAAATGAAAATATCAAACTAAATTAGTGTGACTTACAACTTCTCTCATATTAACTTACCAACTAGTATTTTGGATTATACCAGCTGTCGTTTGAGTTACTTATTAAACTCTAATTGTTTGGCCTAATTCACCAATTTTATTGAAGTTACCAACTTTTATTTACTATGGTTAGCAATTCCTTATTTACTAACCTTTTCAGCAATTGCCATTCTAAATTAGCGTAACTCGTCAACTTTCCTCTCATTATATTACCACCTAATATCAGGTCAATTCTCATTGAGATTTGACCCAAAAAAAAAAACTCTCATTGAGTTACTGACGGACATTTATTTTTTTTTTTAATTTGCTAACTTTTCTTATCGTTGACAAATTTTTAGTTCCATTTCTTAGTCACACCTTAATTTGCCGACTCTTTTCCAAAAATTACCAACTTATTTTTTAGCAAAAAAAAATTGTTCTTATTTTTTACAAAGCGATTTATCAACTTTTTTTTGATTAAGTTATTAACTAGTTTGGGGCTCTTATTAATTTAACCACTTTTTTATTGGGTTACTTAATTGGCAAAAAGTTTGCTGAAATAAAGGTATATCATATAATAGTTGGTAAATCTAAAGCTTTGATAACAAGGATAAATAGAAGTTGGTAAAAGATAAGAAAATTATTAGAGAAGAGAAGCTGGTAATTTAAGGCTGATTTCTTTTACAATTTTTTGCCATTGCACATCTAATTAGTCGAACAACGCAAAGATTCCAATAGTCCGATACACTTGGTCTGACTGATAATTTTAGACAATTCCACCGGCCGCCCAAGCAGATGCCCTCTTGCTTCCTCCTGGACTTCATCGAAGTGAGTAATAATGTTTTTCCAAGATAATGTCTGAATTGTAAGCTTTGGTTGAACGTGCTAAGAGTCGGTTTTTTCGAGTCCGTGCTAGTTCATCGATATCTGCTTCTATCGTCATATCGAAGCGTGACTTTGTCGTGTTGTCGTAGTCTTGTTATGGTTGAAGCATTAATGTTGTCAATGGATTGTAGCTTACCTCAAGAATTGGCAGTTCTTTTGGAGGATAACGATGGGGATCTTGAGGACTTTGTTGAGTGAGTGATATGGCAGAATCTCGTTGATTTTCTGCATTTGGACATGTGGTAGACGGGAAAGCGCAGGTGAAATGGATGGATGATGGCAATCCGTCTGGTGCTCGAAGGCATCAAAGTTCGACAGGCTAAATTTGCATACATTCCCGGTTGTCGATGGTGTTTCAGATTTGCTTGTCGTTATGGTTCTTGGGAGATCAGAAGAGTTTCGCAAGTCAGTTTGATCGAGTTCTGGACATTGCCGAGCCATATTTCTTGAAACTGAAACCTCATGTTATTGTCTGATTGATCCAACAGGACACTCAGTGGATTTTCTGGTCAGGCTTTGATGATTTTCGCAGGTAATGTGCACAGAGCATCTTCAAGAGAGGATAGAGTTGATCCATGTTGACTGGGTCCCACCTTATGTGGGGCCCAGCCAGCATGATACAAAACAAAAGAAAAGAAACAAAAAAAGTCAAATGGTGATCATTTGCAGTCGACTCTTGATGCAGTCGCGGCTGATCATTTGCAGGGCGTATGACAAAGTATTTCCGATGGAGATGACATTATTCATGCGTTTTGATTAAACTTCAAGCCATTCGATGGGTGTTGCCTTATGTTTTTTCAGCAAATTACAGGAATGTGTCCTTCTGGTTTACCCTCTCCCTTTTGTTGTATTGAACAGTCGTGTGAACGGAAATCCACAACTAGTGGTGATAAAGGATGCACGACACGCCATCAATGTAGAGAAGCCCAAAGAGATGTACAAGATCTTGAACAGTTTCCCCGTCCATCCGCTTGCTCCACATGGGCAGGGAAACCAGATGAACGGTCGAAAGGCGGACTGAAGGTCTTGTATTGTCGACGTTTCAATCATATAATACCGGTGGAATGTGTCGCATTTTGGGGAGAACACTGGGATTTTTTAATTACTACTGGAACGCATGCAAGATTAAGGCAGCAAATGCAATTATAGAATGTAAAGAAAGTAAAATATCTTTATTGATATTATTTAATGCTGCATGATTTAACTTACCATGTCGGAGCAACCGGTGCAAACAAACAAATTGGAAACAAGAAGAGGGAAATCTTCAACCATGGTGTTTTTAATTCTTCTTCTTTCGATATATTTTTGGAATACGTGGGAATCTGGTAATTTTTCCCTTTGATCTAATCATTCAAATGGACAACATCCTTAATAAATCTATTGAAGTCGTTGTACGACGACCCTCCGTGACGGGCGGCTTCCACAGCTCTCTCCTTCCACTTCTTAGCATTCTCCCTCATCTTCTTCCCGCCGACCCCTTCCATCACTTCCCGAACAAGAGCTTCTATTTCCTGGCGCCTCACATCCTGGTTCACTTCCATGCCAATCCCCCATTCCGTACACGCATACCGACAGTTTGTCGTTTGCTCGGCAAAGAACGGCCAGCAAATGAGGGGAACGCCTCCGCAGATTCCTTCCAAGGTAGAATTCCACCCGCAGTGCGTTAGGAAAGCGCCGACTGATCCGTGACTCAGGACTTGATCCTGCGGACACCAACTTGTCAAGAACCCTCTGTCTTTCACTTCCTCCAGGAACTCCTGTGGCAGAATTGCAGAATCACCCTTCACAACATCAGGTCTGATCACCCACAAAAATGGGTGCTTGCTATTTGCAAGTCCCCAAGCAAACTCCTTCAGGTGTTCCCCAGTCATGACAGTAATACTTCCATAGTTCACATAGACAACCGACTCGGCTTCTCTCTGATCGAGCCATTCGAGGCAGCTGTAGTCTTCCTTCCACAGACTCGACCTGAAAGACTTGACTGAGCTCCAGGGAATATCCTGAATGAGAAAGGAAAGGGGCCCGGTACAGTAAATTTGAGGGGACATGTCTGCTATTTTCTCCAGTACTTCGTGTTCGAGCTCATTGAAGGTGTTGAACAAGATAGCAGATGATTTCAGGCAGTGCTGCGCTTCATCTCCTAAGAAGTCGAACTTGATGTCGTTCAGGTCTGTGGTCCGCATGAAGCTTGGGATGTCCCGGAGTCGGATGTTTCGCATACCGGGGATCCAGTCGACAGGATCATCGAGCATCCCGTTGTTCAGGAAGTCTTCATCTGTTACATTTAATACGTAGTGAGAATCCAATCTAGAACTTTAACAAGAGAAACAGATGAATGGAAATAACTCATAAATGGGGAGATAACTAAATAAACAAATCCTGACAAAAAAAAACTAAATAAACAAACAAAGATCTAGTGAATAAATCCGAGTGAAGCAAAAATGAATATATAAACAAAGTAAGTACCTTTGAATGGAACGATCCCTCTCTTAACAAGCTCTCTGTACTGCAAATAACCCATTAACCCACAAGCTGAGGCAGTCCAGAACTGAACCTCTGGGACTCCAAGCTCTCTTGCAGCTTTACTGGCGAAGCTCGTCGCCCCATCTGATATCACACAACTCACAGGCGGAACAACCTCGTCACTCTTGATCCCGGCAAGCAATTTCTTGAAAGGGCCTAAGCAGTTCTTGCGGATTGAGTCGAAGAGGGCCGGGATGTCCTGCGTCGCATCGCGGTCTGACGGCGGGAGGCCATCCGGGATCGTCTCGAAGCGGAAGTTTTCAAGGACTCGGAGTGAGTCGGGTCCCTTAGACCGGAGGAGGCGGTGGTGGTTGAACTCGGTGTTCACGAACGTCACGAAGACGCCGCGTGCGTGGAGGAGCTTGGCAAGCTGCATCATGGGGTTGACGTGGCCTTGGGCCGGGAAGGGGACGCACACGGCGTGTGCAAGTGCACGGGATTTTCTTGATTCGAGGGGTGACGAACCCATCAACTGTCTGTCTCTCTTGGGCAAGATCAAGAAGTGTATACTGAGTGATGGAACTTGAAATTGATCTAAAGTTTGCCAAATCTATTCAATTTCGGTCGGTCTTTTCAGATCTATACCAGATGCGCAAAAGAGAGTTTATGCAAGTAGTGTTAGACGAGGGAGATACACGTGTGAAAACTCAGCAACAAGCACATATGTTTATATATTACAACTTCCGGTGATTGGTGTATTTCATTTTTTATACCAATTTATAGAGTGCCTAGGGATACTCTGGTGTTTTGTATTCGGCCGATCCTAGATTCTTGGAAAGAAGACGGCAAGGTGGTCAGATGACTTGATTACCTCGAACACGTCCCCCGTGCCTTGGAAAGGTCATTCAATTTGATAAATGACCAACATCAATTTCCTAGCTGATGAGAGAATAACAGGATCAAAAAAGACATTCATAGCGAATGTCTATTGTCTAGGGCAAATCATTTTCGCATTTATTGTTTTCCTATGCTTTCTTTCTTCAGGTGAGTAAATGTCGGATGTACGAAGTATCTCAATCGTGTCATGGATGTTTGCTTGAAGCTCGGGCAAGGAGTCAAATATCGAAATTATTTGCACTCGATGATGTGATAAATGAACTTTGTGATGATGTTTCCGAGTCTACACACGGGTCATTCTTTAATTTAGCCTACGCCCATGATTTTTGATGTAATTACTTTGTTCAGTAGTTATGTACGAGAAAACATTGCCTATCGATCTCCTGAAAATGCGGAAGATCATAGTTTAAACGCATCCTGTCAATTAAGCGAAATACTCACACGCTGCGGAATTATTATTTGCACTTTTCTCACGATGGCTATGATCGGATATGTCCAAAACATCTCCGCATAATTACTTGTGCAAACAGACAAAATACTGCTGGGCAATGGTCCTAGTTGCATCCGATACGACCATGTCCATACATTAAAAATCCAGCAATTCCATGGTTCTCAATAGATGAAAACTATACTTCGTTTCCTGGCTATTCTTAAAACGCATCGACCTCATCGAATGGTGTTTGGTGATGTGGTTCGAAATCCGTCCTTGAAGAACTCGAGCATGAAGACTAGTCAAAAGGATAAAGGGTTACGTCTTTACGTAGCTTTTGGCGTGGAACATGTTGTACAAGGACCTTTCAGATGCATCGAGGAGGAGATTTGAGTTAGAAGGGGAAGGAAGAGACCTAGGAAGACGTCGAGGGATAGAGAGGACGAGGAGAGATGTAAACTATCCGAACCGATCTAATGCGAATTGAGTGCGATGACTATGATCAGCTGCTACTGTTGTTGTTGTTACGTAGCAGTGTTAGAGATTCAAGAACTCACTTCTAAGGTGAGGGGTTTTCATGGTTACCATAAAATGGGCATTTAAAACGGCGGAGCATGATGAGTGTCCGATTCCTGTGTGTTTTAACGCTTTAGATGCACTTTGAATCGTTGTTTTAGTCTAAATTCGTTCCTTGTGGAAAACAATTGTCCCCAAATTCTCCTCTCTTTGTAAATTGAAAGGTGGGAGGGACGGTGGACACACAATTCAAACTGATCCTTCCGTTTTTCGGGCTCTGTATTTTGTATTTATGATATCACCTCATTTCTATGGCAAAAACAAAAAAAATGATGGTGGATTTTTCCTACAATTTATTAGGAACTTACGAATACTTTCATAAAATTGTCAACTTTTTTGTTAGTTTGTAAATTATGAACATTTGTAACTATTTACAAACTTTTGTTTGTAAAACTCACTTGCGTTTCAAATTTACTTACTCTTATAAAAAAATTATCAATGTAAATTAGAGTCTTATCAACTTTTTTTAAATTAAACTAGCCATTAGTTTTGAGTTACTTACCAAAGTTTGATTTCTTTTTTTTTTCAACTTGCTAATTTTTTTTATCAAGGTACCGACTTCTATCCACCTTGGTTAGCAATTCCATATTTACTAACTCTTTTTATTGATTATTGATCTAAATTAGCGTAACTCGCCAGCTTTTTTTTTGTATGCTACATTACTACCAATACTATATATTAGTAACTTATTAGTAACTTACCAATACTATTATAAAATTACCAACTTTTTTTGTTAATTTGTAAATTACGGAATTTTGAACCAATTTATAAAATTTTGTTTGTATAACTTATTAACGTTTTGATTTATTAAATCTTACAAAAATATTACCGATCCAAATAAGAGTCACCTACCAACTTTTGTCATATTAAATTAGTCATTAGTTTTGGGTTACCAATTTGAGTTACTTACCAAAGTTTAATTATTTAATTTAACTTACCAATTTTTTTTATTAAATTACCACCTTTTATTCGCTTTGGTTAGCAATTTCCTTATTTACTAACTTTTTTTCGCGATTACCAATCTATATTAGCTTGACTTGCCAACTTTTTTTATGTTAAATTTCTACTTAGTATTGGGTCAAGTCTCATTGAGTTACTCAGATATTTATTAGTTCCTTTTTGTATGGTAACCTTTTTTTACCATTCACAAACTTTTATTTACATTTCTCAGCGGGATCTTAATTTACCCACTCATTTTATAAATTATTAACTTTATTTTCTTTTGATTAACAACTTCTCTTATTTTTTACAACTTTTATTTGCTTATTAACTACGTCTTAAATTTATTAACACCTATACAAAATTGCTAACTTTTTTTTGGTCGGAATGAAATTACTAACTTCAACTTAAATGATTTATCAATTTTTTTTATAAAGTTATAAACTAACTTCGGATCTCTCATTTGAGTAAGTCATCAAAATTTATTTGGTTTGTTTAATTTACCTACTTTCCTATTGAGTTACTTTATTGGAAAAAAGCTTGGAGGTCACCGAAACAAAGGTTGATAATATCATATAATAGTTGATAAATTTAATGAAGAAAGGTAAATAGAAGTTAGTAAAAGAAAAGAGAATTACCAGAGAAGAGAAGTTGGTAATTTAAGGCGTAACTTTTGATAGTTTTTTCACTATTCAACATCTAATAAATCGAACATCACAAAGATTCCAAGAGTCCACTAAAAAATTCACAAATTAACTGAAGTCATATCTTGCATTGCTCAGATTGAATCGACGGGTGAGTAAGGTTGGGTTAGTCGTTACATTCAGTTAGATGAAATGAAACACAACAGCCATCCACACGAAGAACCACATTTTGATTTCCCAACAATTTTTGTCCATATTTTGATTTCTTTAAACTTTTGATTCGTTCAATATGATCCTTGAACTATTTCTAAATATTAAATGTATCCCTTAAACTTTCAGTTTATTCAATCTCGTCTCTCAATTTTCCATAACAAAATCAACTCGCTCCTTCTGTACTATTAACGAGTTTCATAATTGCAACATTACCCAAATCTTAGAATATCGTTTTGTTATATTATCTTTTTATTACCTATTTACTTTTTTGGTTTTTATAAATTTTACGATAATTCCACTTAAGTAAATTTTAACTTATGATCTTTATAATAGTAATAGTAGAAACTTCTTTAGAGCTGTATCGCATTGATACTCTTGCTATTTTATGTCTATGTATCTCATAAAGATATTTAGAAACGATATTAACCTATCTATAAATATTTGGACATATATTAATCTAAATCAAAATCTTGTTCCTTATTTTTTAGAAAACACAAAACACACAAGATTGAAAATTTGATCAATCCCAAAAATTAGGAACGAGATCTATATAAGTATGGGTAACTATAGATAAATTAATAGAGGTTTCAAATATCTTTAAGAAAACACTTAGACTTAAAAAAATAGAAATATTAACCAATACAACTCTAAATTAGTTTCTACTTTTACTATTATAGAGATCATAAGTTCAATTTTGCTTAAATGAAAGTATCACGATATTTAAAAGATAAAAAAGGTAAAAAGGTAATAAAAAGATTACACATTTTTTGTTGATCCAAGAAAACACTTGAAATAAAAAGATATACTAAAATCCGTGTAAAATTGCAATTATAGAAAATTGTGAATAGTACCGAAAGACTGAGTTTGTTATGGAAAGTTGATGAACTTAATTGAACAAACTGAAAATTTAAGAATTACATTGAACATTTAAAAATAGTCTAAGAGTCACATTGAATAAATTAATAATTTAAGAATGATATTACATACTGAATTAAAATTTATGAAGTATTGGTGTTGATGTCCTTATGAACAATTGGTGTCAATGTCCTTGCTTGAAATTATTGAGACAGACATGGGACCTCGACATGAACCAGTCTTGAATTATTATCTGCTCCATGCCTTCTTTTCAACAGATGTAGGTACGCATGGGAACAAACGAGCCAACTGGCTGAGGAATATTAAGGGCCCGTTTGGCAACGTGTCAAACAGTGAAAATTTCTGTTCTTTTGTTCCCAGAAATAGTTTGGGAACAGAAATGCGTTTGGTAAACTTTTTGTTCCCGGGCACATTTTTGCAAAAATTTGTGCCGAGAAACAGTTTTGGAAGAGAAACAAGAAGTAAAAAAAAGTTACTTATTGTTTCTCGGCACAATTTTGAGAATCAGTTTTTTTTCTTCTTTTTTTTTTCTTTTCTTATTTTTGTGTTGTTCTTCCCTGGGCTGGGCTGGCCGCCAGCGATCGGCCACAGCCCAGGGCCGGCGAGGGCGTCACGGCCCTCGCCGGCCGCCGGCGGAGGCGAGGGCGAGGCTGGACCCTCGCCGCCGGGCGAGGCCGCCTCGCCCCGAGACGGCGAGGCTCGACCTCGCCCGGATCCGGCGAGGCCGAGTCTCGCCGTCGCGACCCACGGCGATGCCGACCTCGCCGTGGGTCGCGACGGCGAGGTTGGGCCTCGCCGGATCCGGGCGAGGCCGAGCCTCGCCGTCTTGGGCGAGGCCGCCTCGCCCGGGCGGCGAGGGTCCGGCCGTCGCCCCTCGCCGGCGAGGGCGACCCTCTCCTCCGCCGGTGAGGGCCGTGACGCCCTCGCCGGCCCTGGGCTGTGGCCGATCGCCGGCCGCCGGTCGCCGGCGACCGGCCATGGCCAAAGAAGAAAATGGGTAGAAAGAAAAAAAAAATTTAAACAATTCAAAATATTATTAAAATATTATTTGGGAACATAAATTTTGTGTAGTTACCAAACGCATTTCTGTTCTTTTCTACTCTAGGAATAGAAATTTTGGTCAGTTTATCAA